GTTTTCACTGACAAAAAAAAAGAGATATACAAAACTTAAAAATATATTTCAATACCCTAATACTCCCCACACAAATAAGCGACTAATGATTTCATCGTATGTACTACATGGAGTAGGTTAATATGGATATCAATCTAACCTACCAATTGATTATTTAAGTGGTTCAAAATGAGCAAAAATGATTGATTAAAGAACAAGTAAGATCTTTTTTTTTTTCGAAAAAATAGTTCACAATCCTCTCAAATGTTCAAATTCTATCAGTTTTTGGTTTGTTGGTTCCAGATGTGTGGATTAATGTTGACAGTGATATGTAGTTAGATTAGGGATCACATACAATTTTGGGAGAGAAAATTAAAGTGATATAAGCACCGAGAGAAATTAACAAATGTAAAATCCCATATAAAATTTAAAGATGAATGACATGAAATTAATAGTACTTCTAAAATGATAATAGAAACCCCAAATTAATGTTTAAAGATTAATTATGAAATTTGAGTTTCACGTAAATTGACTTTCTGGTCAAATGAGCGTGTTCTTGGGCCATCATAAAAACATAAATAAGGCCGATAACGAAACAAACAACAAAACTTTACGACAATTTTTTCGTACACGTTTACTTGTATTACATACACAAGTGCTCTCTGAACCGTGCAATAAAGTCACCCGCAACACGACTCTCCCACTTGAGCTATCTTAGCTCTAGGCCATGCTATTCCATAATATTGAAAAAATGACAGCATATGGTAACAACTAGTATTGAAAGTTGGTCGCCTTTGGAGGCGTTTAAGTTTGAGAAGGGTGGTTAGACAAGTTTTTAATTAATGTTATATTATAATAAAATTTTCATTGAATCTAGAAGGTCGAGAAACATTGAGAGAGATAATATAGGGTATATTAGAGGTTTAAAAGTATTTCAGAGTTAAAACACATTTTATGAGAGAATTTGGATAGGAAGAGATTAGACACTATATTAATATTTTACTTATAACTTTTTCTAACGATGTCCGATTGACTTGAAAATTTTACAGTAGAAACTAGATTTACAAGGTTACAAAAATATTTTTCACAAAATTTTGTTAATCGGCTTCTAACTAGATCAAAATTGAGCCATAAGTTAGCAACAAAAAGTTACCACCATTCGAATGGTGCAGTGCCATTAGAACGGTGCTTTGACAATATGAACGCACATCTCCAGTTTGAACGCACATCCCCCGTTCGAACGCATATGCAGGGTTGGGTGAGTTTTCACTATTCGAACAGTGCCTCTGATGATACGAGCGATCGTTCGAACACATGTATGGGTATTGCTGCCTCCGTTCAAACACAAGATAGTCGTTCGAACGCACCTCCCCGATCAATTTCACGCGTTTTCTTTGATTTTAGGGTTCAATAAAACCCAGGGACATCTTTTGGGGACTATTTAACCTTATTTTCATCCTAGTAAACCCTATAGTTGAGAAAAGGTAGAAGAGGAAGAAAGGGGGAGATTTTCACGTTGAAACGAATCAAACACTTTAAAACTACACACAAACAACAGATTCAAGGTAGAAGATTCTTCTTGAGTTATTTTATCGAGACTTATGGTATTATATATGTATGCTTTCAATCTTATTGATTTATATGAAAAATAGTTGTGAGTTCTTGGTTTCTTTCCGATTGAAACATAGTTTTTAACAAAATATATGTTTGTAATCAAGGAATTCTTATTCTTGGTTTCGAAAATCCTAGTTTTTCCTGAACGCCTATTTTATTGTAAAAGACTTATTGATTCTTGATTTTTAAATTCCTAGCTAGGATTGGTTAAATTAGGTTTTCAATTAACTATTTTTTCTTATTCCAAGAAATCATGATTTTTGACAAAATCCTAGAATTTGGATATCCAAATTATAAAATTTTTCTTGATATGATCTCTTACATATTTTAACACCACTATTCTTGTACCTTCAGAATTGTGAAACTTGTGCTACATGTATTTTGAAGGAAATCGTGATTAGTTGAATATTTGTTTTGATAAAATTGTGGTTTCTCATCTCTGTATGGTTTGAGTATGACGAACTTGAATTGCCTTTGAGACCTGTCGTAGAATGTTAGAAGTTAGTCTATACTAGTGGAAGTGAGATGATTGTCTAACACTTGTAGTAGATTGTTGTTTGTAAGTGCAATTACTATTATTCACATAGGTTTGTGGTTGAGATACGACATTCCTAAAGTGGTTTGTGATTTGGCCATGCGGAGAATGATTGAGATTGAATGATTCTGGTGTGTGAACGCAGTAAAATCATTGTGTAGATTCCTGAAAAGTAACCAACATACATGAGGTACATAACATACATGAGATACACAACATACATGAAAATGTGGAATGATTCTATTGGGTTATTATTTGATTGTTTTAGTTCTGACATGTGTATTCCTGTTATTGATCTACTGTATTCCATACACTTGAGATCATTATAACCGTCATTGTTTTACTTTCAAACAAAACATCTATGCTATTTTTGAAAAGTGACTTTCCTTCTTTTTACTGTTTTTAAAACCTAGTTTGGGTTTGAAAAGAATTTTTAGAGGCTTTTGCTCACTTTCTACAACCATGCATTTACAAATTATGGAATAGAAGAGAATGTTGATGTAAATGAGTAGGTGAACTATAAGGCGGTGGAGAATTAAAATGTGGAACCAGTCTTAGAGGAATATAGTTATTTTATTTTTGTTTAGAGATTGAGAGATTTCGATGAAACAATGTTTCAACTAATTCTATTTATTCTACTTCTAAATACTATTTGAGTTTTGAATTGTAAGTTTGAAGAAGTTTAATGTTTTCCTGTCTTTAAATGGTTGTTATTTAATGAATGAATGAATGGTTTATCATTTAGAAGGTTATTTTCAGTTGCTCTCATGGTTGAATAGTTTGTAGATAGTAATATCTTTTATGGTGAATTTTAAGGCATTACAATATAATGTCGATAGGGTGAATAAATATTTGATTCCATTGTATGTGTAAGTATTATAGTAATTGTATATATTAATATTTTGTTGACACACGTAATAACTTATATTAGTTATAACTAAAAAGTGACGTTTAAAGCCTAGCTACTAAGTTCGAGCGAGTAGTCAGCACAAATTTAAAAATTTTATATGAAAAAAAAACATGTTTAAATTAGGAGAAACAAAAGTTCTATAGAGGTGGACATTAGAGGTCATCCATAGGAAGAGGCAGACAAATTCAACATGTTCCCAAATCTTCGGTCCAAAGTTTCTTCTCATTTCCTGCCGTCACCTCCACCAACAAATAAGAAGTCAAAAAAATAATAAATGATGAGATTTAACCTGATCACGTATGAAGTCAAAGTTGCCCTGTAGATATATAGACCTTTGGGGGGTGAGAACAGGTTTGTACTGGATTGATGATTTAAAAAAATATATATTTTTTTAATTTAAATTTCATTTATTATTAGACTGATTAAGATTTAATGGTTATATCTTACTATTTTCCGTGTTTGGATAATACATAATCATTTTTGTGAGACCCACATAAAAGGGTGATGGAATATGATACCATTGACTGTTTTTATCTCTAACCTATTCAATCCAAAACCATGATTGATTTATAAATTAGTCTTTGATCAATTTGAAATAAATTTTTCTTACATGTAATTTTTAAAATTAGTATATTTTCATATTCTCTAAACGAATATTTATATATTACGAGGACTATTGAGAATTAATTCAAACTTTTATTAATTAGTTATTTTATTATTAGTTGTTAATTATTCTTAGTTCAAATAAAATATTGCTTTGTTATTGTTAGTTTATTATTTAAATTAATTGTCTTATTGTAGAAGATGTCTTGGTCTTCTTGAGGTATACCGGCGGAGCTTTGTTTTGACAAAACAAATTTGTTACAAAAAAATTAGATCTATGAAAAACAAAAAGAGAAGACAAAGCAAACGAGAAAAAGAGAGAGAAGGATAAGAGAACACGCCAATTGAGTCATTTGTATTAGTTATCGAGTTTGACAAAAAAAATTCCTGCACCCCTTGGGTTTCATTTAACCCATGTACATGACTTAAAGTTTACTTTTTAAATCGGGTTAAAATAAAATTCAAATGAGATTTTCAATGTATTTTTTACTTAACAAATGTGGGATATATGTGTCCCACATATTTTTTTATCCTATTCTACTAGAGTTATCCCACTTTATATATCTTTGGATTAGTAGTGGGTGCAATGAACGTGGGATTGAAATAGCACATAGAACATGAGTGCAAGGTGTTTCAGAATATTTTGAAGTATTTTTGAGATATTTTGGATATGTCGATCAATATTTTGGTATATTTTAACTAATATTTCGAAAACAAACTTTTAATTTTTTTCTTCATTCTCATTTTATTTTTGAAATGTTCCCAATATATTTCTATAATGCTTCTATTTTTATGTAATTAAAATAATACACTGAAACGAAATTTTAATTCTTAGCCATATATTTTTCTTAACAAATCATTTCTCACAAATTTGAGTTTGATCATTATAAATAAATGAGTCATTTATAAATAGAGTTTGGATCCTCTACTATACAACAGCGGTGTTGTTTTTCGAAATGATGTTCTTTCACATTAAAGCAATGTTATTCTATTTAATAAAATAATATCATTTTAAAGAAAAATACCCCAATTGTTAAAAAACTAATAGTAAAAAAATTCGAATCCTTTATAAATGATAAATGATTTACTAAAAAAATCATATTGAAGGGATTTAGATGCTATTAGACTTATTGATATTATTAAATTTATGGTCTTATTGTTGCACATTTTAGATCTCAAGAACTCCCAATTAAAAAAAAAAAAATTTAATTTAAATAATTGACTTTTAGTTAAAAAATTAAACTCCCACCGCCTAACTCGAGTGGAATGAAGATCTATGGTGAAGTATTTTTATAAATCCTTCGTGGCTGCAACGAAACCTCATATAGGCTCTCTCTCTCCTCTCCTCTCCAATCAACCATGGCTGAGCAACCGTCCACAGCAGAGACATCCGTCGATTCCGTGCCGCCCGTTGAACTTTATCCAAACCCAGATGGCTCATTCACTCGAATCGAACCATTTCCAAAGCTTCCTGCAACGCCGGAAGACACCACCGGTGACGATTCAAAGTCAACCCAAATCGCTCTCTCCAAAGACATCCCTCTGAACCCAACAACCAACACCTCCATTCGCATCTTCAAACCTTGCAATCTTCCTCCAAACTCGAAGCTCCCCATCATTATCTACTTCCATGGAGGTGGGTTCATAATCTTCAGTGTCAGTACTAAACCCTTTCACGAATCATGCAACGCCATGGCAGCTCAGTTCCCAGCTCTGATCGTCTCCGTCGAGTACCGTCTTGCGCCGGAACACCATCTTCCGGCGGCGTACGATGACGCCGTCGAAGCTATCACGTGGGTCCGAGACCAGGCATTGGGAATCAACGGTTGCGATCCGTGGCTGAAAGATTTGGCCGATTTTTCTAGGGTTTTCTTGATGGGTAGTAGCGCAGGATCTAATATAGTCTACTACGCAGCTCTGCGTGTGCTCGATATTGATCTTACGCCGGTGAAAATCAAAGGGTTGATTATGAACCAACCGTTCTTTGGTGGGGTGAAGAGGACTGAATCGGAGACAAGACTTTCCGATGATAAGATCATACCTCTCTCTCTGAATGATCTGATGTGGTCCTTATCGTTGCCGGAGAATTCTGATCGTGATCATGAGTATTGTAACCCATCAATCGCCGGCGAGTCTCACAGGGAGAAGGTCGGAAAATTATGCCGGAGCTTGGTCAAAGGTTATGGTGGGGACCCACTTCTTGATAGACAGAGAGAGTTCGTGAAGTTGTTGGAGTCATCTGGTGTGCACGTGGTGACCCGGTTTGATGATGGAGGCCACCATGGTGTAGAGGTCTTTAATCCCAAAAAGGCCCAAGATTTGCATGATGAAGTGAAGCAATTCATTGAATCAACTTAAAGAGTAATGTTGTTGATGCAATTACTAGTATGGGTAAGAATAATATTATTGTCATACTAAGATCAATATCGACCTCCATGATGGATAATTCAAGTAAAGAGTGATTTGTTTCCTCAAAATAGTCAAATTTAGTTTAGACCCATAAAGATGAATTGATGACAATGATATTGTTGTACCATGTAGTCGATTCATGTTTTAGTGGGTTGTAACTATATTTGATATTTTTGGAGAAAAGGAATCGGTTTTTAATCGGATGGTCGGTCTTTATCTTAGTCACTGTCAATGCGAATTATTTTATGATGTATCATTTT